GATTGGCACAAGAGACAAGTTGTGCATCTGATCTGATTCGCTTGAGGCATCGATTTGGAGGAGGTTGGTTCTTAAAATTTTGAATTTTACGAAATTGGTATATGTTTATGTGTTAGCTACTTTTTGAGATTTGGTTTACAAAACAGATTTAGAGTTTGGTGAAAATATATTAGAATCAGTTATATTTGCCAAAGCTCTGTTTTTGTTCAAGTTTCAAGTTCATGTACTCTGTTTCTTTGGCCATGCATGCATGCTCTGTTTTGAATTGTGCCTCCTCTGTTTGTTGTTTTTTTTTTCTTAATAAAAAAATCAAAATTGTCGCAAGTTTCTAATTCCTTGATAGAATGGTATTCCAATTTTTACTGTGTTTTTAGTTTACTATATAAAGAGATGGATTATGAATCATATATCTTTTGACAATTCAGGTCACACACGACGATGCAGGTTCAGCTACCATCTGAGTTGGAAGAAGAAATCATCTCCAGAGTTCCATTCAGATCTCTTGCAAGGTTCAAATCTGTGTGCAAGCTTTGGAACAGTCTTAGTTTGGACGACAAATTCCTTAAGAAGAACTTGTCTCGTATGTATAGCTATAGCGGTCACGGTGAGCCTCGGTTTATAGTCAAAGATTATGATAGAAGTATTTTTGGCGTGGGCATTGAGGAGCCGGAGCCGAAAAACGTGGTCGATCCTCTGTCTTTGATGATCCAAGACCTTACCCTTAAAAGAGTTCGACCAGAGAGCAGTATTAGTGTACAAGATTGTTCATTGCGACGGTCTGTTGTTGTATATAATGGAAAACCAGCTTTTGGTTTGGAACCCGTTGTTGAAAGAAACAAGATGGGTCAAATGCGGCAGCGACTTTCACATATTTGACGATGCTTACTTCCTTGGATACCTCAACCATTGTGATTACAGGATCTTAAGGTTTCGATGTGCTGGTAATTCAAGAAATAGACCTCCAAGAGTTGAGGTCTACAAATTCGCATCTAAGACATGGAAGGTTATAGATATGATCAGTTTTGATTGGGTCCTTAAAGTACCATTGTCGACACTCTCCTTGAGAGGAACTCCTTATTGTATTGGTCTTCGAAAAGATGATACTAAAGCTTTCATACAAAGCTTTGATTTCTCCAAAGAAAGGTTTCAACCCTTAGAAGATCACCTACCATTCGAGTATGATGAGTTTAATCCTATTGGACTGGAGATTTTTAAAGGAGATCGGCTTTCGGTGTTAGAGCAATGTCACAAAACAAGGAAGATATGCGTATGGGTGAAGCATTGGATCATGCTACCTTCTTGGAGCAGATTACTTGTCATTGACATACCGCATTTTCCGCTCTTATATCCACATATTAGCCGCGTTTTGACAAATTATTTTGTCGACAAAAACAACAGGGTCGTCATAACTTCTACTGACGACGATGGAATATTGATTAACAGAGTCATCGGCGAAAAGGATTTCCAAACAAGTAAAGCAAATGCTGTGGAAGTTAATCCGCCTTCTCTATGCAACTACGTCCCTAGCATAGTTAGGATTCCTAGATTTTTTAAGCAAGACACGAGTCGGATTCGATTCAGAAGAAATAGATTCCACTAGTTTGTTTGGCTTGTTAATTTTTGTTTAGATAGTTTTTTTTGTGTGCTTAATGGACACCTTAAGCTTGGCTATCAGTCACACTAAATGAGTAAATGGTTTACAAAACTGCAAAACACAGGAATGATCCGAATCATTGGTATGTATATGTTTATTCTTGGCACAAACATGTGCAAACTAGTTGCAGACCCATAGGAAACCGTCAACTAACGCAGCGTTCCCTAAGCTCGCAGGCTCTCCTTATGGTGGTAAAGAGACATTTTTTTCTATGGGCAGAAAATACCAAACTACTTAAATCTTGTTTTCTTGATTTCTTGGAACTCATACTTTCTCACTATGTAAATGTTGATATGGTTTCTTCGTTCGTCAAGAGAAGATATGACAAGCTCATTGTTCTTGTTAACAAAATAATTTGCTTGGAAGAATGTAGGATCTTGATTTAATAGCGGAATATATCCACGGTCATCAATCTGCTCCAAGACATGACCCAATCTTTCACCCATATTTGTATCTTCCTTGTTTCATAACATTGATGTAACACTGAAAGCCTATCTCCGTTAAAAGGTAGTTGATCCAAAGGCTGAAATCTTTCATTGGAAAAATCATAACTTTGTATAGAAGCTGTATAAACTTCTTGAAGACCAATCCAGTAAGGAGTTCCTTTTAAAGAAGCACTCAACAATGGTACTCTAAGGAACCAATCAAAACTAATATCTATAGTCTTCCACATATGAGATGTGAATTCGTATACTTGAACCTTTGTACGTCTGCCTCTAGAATTACAAGGATCTCGAAACCTTACGATTTTGTAATCATATATGCTTGATGATCGGCCTATGTATGCAAGGCCGTACGCAGCATCTTCTTGATGGAAATCGCTGCCGCATTTGATCCATTTTGTAAGTTTAAAAAATGGGTTCCAAACTAAAAGTTGGTTGTTCATAACACATAACAATAAGCCGTTGCAATGACTTATCTTGTACATCTTAATGTTCATGTACTTGTTTCGACGAGCAAGTCTAAGGGTAAGGTCTTCGTGGAGCACTAAAGGCGTGTTGAAAACGTTTTGATGCTCTTCTTCATTGAGTTTTAAACTCAAAGAAGTGATCTTCTTCATTTAGATTCCCAGTGTATTCAGCTGCTGACTTTGATTTGGTTGCAAAAGCAAATCTCCTAGTAGTTTCTGCTCTCAATACACCTGTCTAGGTTACAAAACCACACAAATATATAATCCACTCATGTGAAAGTGCGATATTAGGGGTTGTAAAAGCTTTCTCCCTACCATGGATCAATTGTTCTTTTCTTTCTATTCTTCAATTTACTTATTTTTATCGCCATTTATTTTTTTCTGTTTTTTTAAAGGAAATTAAATTTGTAGTTTAGGTGTTGGGCCGGAATAAAATACTACTAAGCCCAGCATCCAAAATCTTTAGCCCATATTTGAATTCAAAAGAAAAAAACTAACAATTTACCCCAAAACAAATTAATAGAAAATTCTGTGGAGATTGCTAGCGATTTTAGTCTGATTCGATATATACGATATTTTACCTATTTTTCTATTATTTTTAATATATATTTTAATAAACAAATGAATACTTTTTGGACTTAACATGCTATCTTTTAGCATTTTCGTGGGTTTTAAAGTCAATACAGGCTTTTGGAGCATTTTGTATCTAAAATGAGTGAACTCAAGTCTTTCCAAGAAAGAACAAATCATGACCGTCCGATGTTTTACTCCAGATGAAGATGTTTCCACCATTGGATCAAGCTCATATTTCACCACGAGATAGAGGAGTATCTCAGCTTCTAAACCAATATTCGTTTGCCTAGATCTTCTAAAAAGAATGAACTCAAACCTTTTCAAGGAAAGATAAATCCTGACCATCAAATGTTTTACTCCAGATGAAGATGTTCCTACCGTTGGATTAAGCTAATATTTCACCACGAGATAGAGGAGGATCTCAGCTTCTAAACGGATATTTGTTTGCCTCAATCCGACGGTTAGATCTTCAAATATCATCAATCTAAAGAAATATCTTTAAGGTTATACGATGACCTAAAGCTCGAGAAGAAGCAATTGGAGAAACCATAAAAGTAGAGAAAACGAAAGAGAAATTAGAAGATTAGAGGTCGGAGCGAGGATTTTATCAGACGAAGAAGACAAGTGATGGGAACGAGAATGATGATTCAATGAGAATAGAGAAGATGACGGAAAAAAGGTTATAGTTTAAGTGTTGCGCTGGAAAAATACTAGGCCCAACATCCAAAATCTTTAGCCCATGTTTGAATTCAAAATAAAGAAAAAATAACAATTTACCCCAAAACAAATTAACAGAGAATTTCGTGGGAGATTGATCGCGGTTTTCGTCTGATTCGTAAGCCGTATTTGTATGTTTTTTTTCAATTTTTAAAATGTTGTTGATTGTTAATTTCTGATTCGTTTTGTTTACCAATATTAAAGTTTGTTTTGTTTTACACCGGTTTTTGTATAGATCGGAATAAATAATTGGACTAATAGCATATCGATCTCTTAACTATAGGTTTTCATTGAAGGAGGACGCAATCAAGTAACCTTTTCATTATAATGGTGTATTTGTCGTATCCGCTTCTCTTTATTTAAGTCGATATTAAAGGTATCTTTTAACGTTTCACTCGAATACACATGATAGACCCTCCCATGCGGTCTAATCTTCATCGAAGAATCATTTCATCAAAAGTAAAATCACAAGGATACCATCCAGAGTATCAATCCTAGTCCCACTACCA